GATGACTCCATCAAGCAGCCTGCAGGAGCAGAGTCACACATCCATTCAGCTGGGAAGGTTCTCCCCCTGCCTTCTCTGCACTCAGAATATGCAAGACTGACGTTGTGGTTGAGATCTTTGGGAATGTGGCTGTGAGGGTGTATGGAAAGAATGCTTGGAGGGTTATGTGTCAGTTGTTTTTAATTCCCAACCTCCCAAAGAAGTTAAAACCCACTCCAACAACAACAACAAAAAAAAAGGTGTGTTTTTTACAACATTTTATTAAAAGCAGCGTGAATATATATATATTTTTTTTTCTTACAGATCCTGAGCGCTGGACAAACATTCCTTTGTTAGTAAAAATCTTAAAATTAATAATAAATGAACTCTCTAATGCAATGGAAGCAAATGCATCTAGACAGACAACTGCAGATTGGAGCCAAGGTAAAATACTGGGTTTGCTTTTTCTCTTTCCAGGGCTGAAATCTACTTTGTCTTCTCTTGAGAAGCATTCTATAGTCACAAGAAATTCACAGCAGTAAATGGTGTGCCTGTGATTTCATAGGCTTGAATAGTGATCCAAAGGATAAGCTCAGAGAATCCCAGACTGGTTTGGGTCGGAAGAGACCTTAAAGACCATCTTATCCCACCCCCTGCCACGGGCAGGGACACCTTCCACCAGCCCAGGTTGCTCCAAACTCTGTCCAACCTGGCCTTGGACACTTCCAGGGATCCAGGGGCAGCCACAGCTTCTCTGGGCAACCTGTGCCAGGGCCTGCCCACCCTCACAGGGAAGAATTTCTTCCCAATATCCCATCTAGCCCTGTCCTCTGGCAATGGGAAGCCATTCCCCCTTGTCCTGTCATTCCATGCCTTGTCCAAAGTCCCTCTCCAGCTCCCTTGTCTTGTTGTACAGATCATCATTAGCAGCTTCCAGCACAACAGCTCTTCTTTCCCTGTGCCATATTTTAAGTGCTGTCAGTCTCTTCCAGGTAAAAATAAATAAAATGGGAGAATAAAACCAGTCACTGTTGTGTATCCTTAGACCTGAAAATTATATTGGGCTAGTTTGGAAGATGGGATCTGACCATATGCCAGTAAAATTATCCTTTTGTGGTGTAGCTGGTTTGCCTTTCTTCCTCCCTGCCTCAAACATCCATCCTTGCTGCTGCTTTTTGCTTGGCTCTGGTTCTGGAATCATTCCAGAAGAAAAGGGATGTTTGCAGGTGTTTCCCTTTGTCCACTCACACGTGCAGGGATGTTTTTTCCTACAGACTCCAGTCCCCTGGAGAGTGATCACAGGCAGGACCTCTTGGATTTTGCATTATTTCTGGAATATTGTTTTTCCTAAACAGATGATTCAAATGATATGTGGGAGGATCAGGAAGAGGACGAGGATGAAGATGAAGGCTTAGCAGGACAGTTCCTATCAGATATTCTTTCCACAAACAAGTATGGTGAGTAGCAGCTTTAAAGTCCTTACTCAGAGCAAAAATGGAGTAGGTGACACCACTGCAGAGTTTCCTTCCCTTGCCAGCAGCAGAACAGAGGCTGCAGGCACAGGCAAGGAATTCTGCTCTGGGATTGGGAATAAGGACCTTCTGGACAGTAACATAGTGATTAAATCAGTGCATTATAAATAACATCACCTGGGGCTTCAGAGGTTTCTGTCCCATGATCTAAAGGAGGGAATATTTGGGATACAATTTTTTTTTCCCCAGCAGTGCCAAAACTATTTACTTTGGGATCCTCGGGTTTCAGTTGTTCAATAGAAAACTTCCTGAGATGTTTTGCTTTGTTTGATGTTAAAACCTGCTGATTTGCCTCTGACAGATGACGATTACTATGAAGATGATGAAGAGGATGATCCAGATGCATTAAAGGACCCTCTTTACCAAATAGATCTCCAGGTGATGCTCTAGAATGAGGGGTTTTGTCAGATTCTCGTTATTCTTCATAAACTTTAATTTTTTTAATGTTGTGTTTTAACAAATCTGTAAGCACTGGAAACATCAGCTATTGATTGTAACCCCAAAAAGGATGCAGATAATTGAAATTTTTTTGGAAAGGGTGGAGTATTCCAAAAATTTCTGGAGCTATTTTTCCATATGATCAGTGTCTGTAACTTATAAAGGTAAATGGACAAAAGTCTTTGAACAGAGGGAGGTAAGACTTTTCTACCCGTGAGCTTCACAGCTGCTTGCAGATGTCAGGAGTAGATTGGAGGGTGACCATGACAGAATTTCATACTCCACTTGGAGGTGCTCTCACCCTTGGGTGACACTTTACTCCTGCTTTTCCCACCACCTGCAGCTGTTGATGAGCCCTTCCCTCTGCTCCCACCCTTCCCTCTACTCCCAGCCTTCCCTTTGCTTCCCCTCCTCCTCCTCTTGCATTTCTCCTCTCTTCCTTTCAATCCCAGGCTCTTACTTGGGGTATGTTGAGATATCCCTTCTGGCACATGGAAGCAGCAGGATTTCCAGGAAGAGCTGGTGCTGAGCAGGTGTTTTGTGTCCCTTCCAGGCCTATCTCACCGAATTCCTGTGCCAGTTTGCCCAGCAGCCCTGCTATGCCATGTTCTCCGACCACCTCAACGACAACGAGAAGCGAGTGCTTCAGGCCATTGGGATTTAGACCCACCCCGGAGACCAGACCCGTCAGATCTGCACAACAGGTTACCTTTGGCTAATTCCACGTTTTATGATTGAACATAAAACATTTTCCAGTGTCTGCCTGCCCGTTCCAGGTGGACCACGGCCTCGTGATGTATTTGAGCCTCATCTTAACACGAGTCTGCTGAGGGAGGGGATCCCGAGAAAGCAGCAAGGACGTTGCACATCGGTCTCACCATGGGAGCACTTTCATTTTCCACAGTAACTTTCCAGGAAGTTCTTAAAGATAAAGAAAGAAAAAAAAAAAAAAAAAGGTGTCCTTAATATTTTTAAAAGCAAACTGTCTCTGCCTGTGAAGAGGCACTTAAATGAATTTCCCACAGCACAGTTGGACAGAGAAAGGAACTGGGCCGCTTACGGATTGCTTGGATGTACCTTGAGTAGTGGGAAGGTTGTTCCACTTGGCACTCACGTAACACAGGGTA